AGGAAAGGCGAGCCTGTGAACGGAAGGTCACTGGTTCAACTCCCCAAACTGACAACATCAAAATGTGGATGGAATGATGAAGCACCCACACCTGTCTCCACCCTCATTTGCCTCATTCTGGGCCCTTGAGCAAGGCCTTTAACCCTCACCATCTGCTCCCCCAGGAGCCCTAGAGGGCAGCTCTCTCCACACAGAGGTCTGTGGTAGCTTGGTGGTCTGCGGTTTTGTCAGGAAGAGCATCTGGCGTAAAAACAAAAAAGTCTTCATGCGACTTAGTTTGCTGCAGTGACCTCTGAGGAAGAGAGCAGACCAAAGAAAAAAAAAGGTATAATGTCAGTTTCTCCCGAATATAGCATTACACAGTAGCTGCTATACATTATTATTACTATTATTATTAGTAGTAGTAGTAGGGATGCACGATGTTGGATTTTGGGCCGATATTCGATATGCCGATTTGTTAAAACTTATTTGGCCGATAACTGATGCTGATACCGATATTTTATATACGTTTCTTTGTCAGAACAGAGCCCTCTTATTTAGGCTTATTTCCTACAAAAATTGTGCAACAGCTGTAAGAGCTGGGGACATATATTCAGTAACAGCCATATGATATGCATAGCACTTTAACTTATATTAAATGAAAAGTGTTAAATGTTATTTATTAGCATTAGTCTCCTGCGATGCTGTCTCACTTGTGGAGGCTTGTTCAGGGTTCCTAGCTGCAGTGTGGGATCCTCTGCATTCTTGTGCATGAAGGATAGCCTTTAAGTTCAAAGTTGTTGTCTATCCATTGTGCCATAAGACTAGTCATGCTAACGGGGCTAACACGACGTCCAAATATCTGTTGTAAAACTCACCCAGCAAGTCGTGCTATTGGCTATTAGCTTCTCAATGACGTCGGAAATGATGGCTTGTAACGCGGATAAGGTTATGTCAGAAAAATATCTTCGACTGGGCACGATGTAGTGAGGCTCAACGTAGTCCATAAATCTTCAGAATCTGACATCCTCACCAACGAAAAATAAAACTTGCACACCACCAACATTTTGAATTTTCCTCTCCGCAGTGAGATCGGGTAGATGCACGTGACGTCATTGCGTTGAGCTGCAACGTCATTACGTTGTGCTGCCGCTGCAGGCAAAAACAGCACCTTTTGTATCGTTGTGTTATTTTAATGGAATGGCCTATATTCGATATTGAACTTTAACTATAATTTCGGCGGATACCGATACCATGCCGATAATATCGTGCATCCCTAATTAGTAGTAGTAGTAGTAGTAGTAGTAGTAGTAGTAGTAGTAGTAGTA